GTAACGTTTGGCTTTTTCCTTCCAGATGTGAGATGGAAAAACAAGTTCTGGGGCAAATCCATGGAGATCGTGCCAATTGGCATGACACACGTGACGCTGCCAGCGTAAGTGCTTGCTCCGTGGTCGGAACCCGCGTCAGGCCTGGAGCCACCCGTTAGTTTTAGGGACAGGATGCCAGCCCCTCGCCCCCGTGACACAGGACAGATATTTTCTTTTCATGTGTTGGACAGTAGTTCGAATGCCCTTCATTTTGACAGCCTCGTGTGCTCGTTGCCTAAAATTCCCTGAATAAGCAGTTTAAACTTCTGTCTCCACTTGCTGGCAAAATGAAGGGTGGCCCTTGACTTGCTGTGCAGATTCCCTTTAAGAACGCTGCGGCTGTGGCCTGGCGGGGCCGTTGCTAGTCCTTTACAAAACAACGTGGCCGTGGGAGCGACTACTAGGAATGAGCGCTGCTCTCTCCTCTCACTCCTTCTAAACCCCGGGCATATCACTTCAGCTTACCAGTGCCCATCTCTGTAAAATGGGGGTAATCCGGCCATCGTAAAGACTGATGGTGAGCGCTCTGGGTGCGTACAGGAGTCTAGAGACACTGGACCCACAGCATGTGCCGTGTGAGTGTTCGGTCTTATTATCACTCATGACGATCATTCAGCTCTAAGTCAAAGCTGAGTCCTGGTGGTAGAGTGGTTGGGCTGTGATCTGCAGGCCAGCATTTCGAAAGTCACAGCCGCTCTGCAGGAGAAAGATGGGGCTTTCTTCTCCCGTAAAGAGTTACAGTCTTGGAAACTCACAGTTCCACCCTGTCCTGTCCAGTTGCTGTGAGTCAGCAGCGACTCGACGGCAGTGAGTTTGTTCGTTTTAACGTCTGCATACTTTCAATATCCTTTTGAAAACTCCCCTTCCTTCCCCTTCCCTAGCTCAGTGACGTTGGACAGCTGCTCTGGGTCTCTTCTGCAAAGGGAGGGGGTGGGGGGGCTCCAGCAGCTCACCAGGCCTCGCCTGGCCCCCAGGTCCACAGAGCAGACTGCTGCCCCTCTGGCCCTGTGTGCCTCTCCGGGGAGTCACAGGCACTCAGTCTCGCTGCCTTCAAGGAAGGGAAGAGGGATTCATTCCATGGCTTAGCGGGGCTCTGTGGGAACCCTAATTCCCCCCTCCCCCCCGGCCAGCTTCGGAGACCACTTTGAGTGGAACAAAGTGACCTCGTGCATACATAACATCCTAAGCGGGCAGAGGTGGATTGAGCACTACGGAGAGATTGTCATCAAGAACCTGAGCGACGATTCCTGCCACTGCAAAGTGAATTTCATCAAGGTAACCAAGCGGCCGGTCAGCTCTGCCTTGGAGCATAGGGCAGCTTGGGGGATGTTTCAGCTTCACCGTTGTGCCAGCAGACAAGCAGGGCCGGGGGCTCCCTGGTCCCAGCACCTCCTCTCCCCTGGACCACGGCCGTGGTCCCCTACATGCCTTCCCAACTCCCACCCTTGCACGCATAAGGTCTATCCTCAACATGGTACCAGTGGGGGTGGGGGCTTTTTAAAATATTAGTCATGAAAAATATATAGATATTAGTTATGTGCAAAATCCTTCTACAACTTCCATCTTACCCAGAGTGAAATCGAGCGTCCTAACCAAGGACCCGGCCCTGCCACCCTCAGTAATCTATTCCCTGCCTCCCCCGACAGCCTTGCAATGGAGAAGCTGAACCCCCAGAATATGGCCTGAAATTGTCACTCAGCTTCACTGGTGCCCAGTTTGTATTCCTTTCTAGCTGAAAATAGAGCTAGACTTTTTTGATTTATGGCAAAATGCCCCTGCTCTTTCTTTGATAGCGATTTTTAGGACAACTAGGTAATTGGGGAGTTTTGGAAATTCCCTGAACTCTCGGGGAGTGAGGGCTCCCTCTGGTGGCTGAATTGCGGTACTGTGTAAAACCAGACCGTCCACTGAGAGTGCAAGTGAACAATCCACGTGTCCCTTGATTGTTGTTTTCTCCGTGGGCTTCCAGGAGGCAGAGAGAAGGCTCAAGTTTGCTCTTCCCCCTTTGCCAACACAGCTCATATAAGGTTCCTGTAGCGCAGAAGGAAAGACCTAGTTCTGGGGGGGATAAAAGAAACCAAAAGCTCAACAACCACCTTGATGGGTTCCTGTCTAATTCTATCCAATATAAAGGTTGTATGAGTTCAGTCTCTTTTCAGTTGTAGCCAGAGTCACAGTGACAGCCAGGACCTCCCCCCTTTGAGGGGCTGTCAAGACCCACTGCAATGCTTAGCTTAATGTGGTGGAGGTCCCCCACATCCCCTTTCAGGGTCGAAGCCAAAGAAGTAAACCAAAATCAACATAAGTGTTGATCGTTAGGTGACAAGCTGTAAGCAGGGGGTTAACAGACTTATTTTCATGAAACTACTAAAGTGCAGCCTGAAGTTCAGGGCCCACAGAGCAGATGCAGAGAGAACCCCGGCTGGGCGCAAGGACGCCTCTCTCTGGTGTCTCTCCTTCGTTTCCGCCCAGCTGACCTCAGCTGACCACAGAGTGCCATGCAGACCACTCACTGTCCTTTGAATTCCAGGCGAAGTACTGGAGCACGAACTCCCACGAGATTGAAGGCACGGTGTTTGACAGGAGCGGGAAAGCCGTGCACCGGCTGTTTGGGAAGTGGCACGAGAGCATCTACTGCGGCGGTGCCCCCTCCTCCACCTGCATCTGGAGAGCAAGTGAGTGGCCCGGCCCAATTGGGGTTGGGGGCGGGGGGCGGTGAGAGCCGGCGCCCGCTGGACAGCTGGACAGGCACCGGTCTGTTCACATCCTCCAGTCGGCCCCTGCTTGGAGCACGCTAGAGGCCTTGGCCTTGGCCGCATCCATCTAGTCATATCTCAGACTCAGTTTGGCTGCATGCAACATCTCCCCTGGCTTCTAGTCCCTGGCTCTTCATTCTGGAATGAAGCCTGTGCCCACCCCAGGTCCTTCTCGGAGGGACTCTCCCTGGCAACACAGCCCGTGATGTTTGTCTTCCTCCCGGGCCTGCCCTGGACTCGGAGTGGGAATGCGAGGGAAATACAAGAAGTCATTTCCCACTGGACCAAGAGCCTGGTGTCGTTGGGAAGGCAGAGGGACCTGGGATTTATAGAAGAGTTGGGATCTCGCAGGTTCTCCCAATGCCCCGGGCCCCCGGGTCTCACTGTGGGTCCCCAGAGAAAGGGTCTGAAGAGGACAAACCTCCGTCGTCGCTATGTCTTTGCCATCCTAGACCTTAGTCCCTGTGATCTGATCATAATGCTGCTTCTGCGTCATCGTCATACTTTAAAAGCATTGATCTGAGGTACATCATCAGGGTGCTTTCAGCTGATGAAACAGAAGAGAGTCACTCTAATAATGGCTTGAGCTACAAGCAGTCAGAGATGACATGGGTGGCCCGGAGTAGCTTAGGAAACAACGGGTCACGGAGGACGCGCTCTGCTGTTCCCAGTGCGTTGATGTTTCCCTCGTGGTTGGGAAGTGATTGGATTGGGTACCACGTCCCACCTGGCATCCCAGCACACAGGGAAGAGGGAAGACGGAGGAGCTGTTTTCCTGCCTTTCCTTTCAGGAGTGAACTGTTTCCCAGCAGCCCCCAGCAAATGTGTCTTTACAACTCATTCACCTCATCCCTGAAGCAGTCGGTGGCTGAGGGGTAGACATGGGGAGACTCAGATTGGCCTGAACTCATCTTTGGGGGAAGACACAATGCCACCCGAGTAGAAGCAGTGCTGCCTTAGTAAGTTCGAGGGGAAATGATCGAAGCGAAGCTGCCTTCGCTTTGCAGTGTTTCTTTCAAAAGGTACCAGCCGCATCTTCTTGTCATCCTCACAGAAGTTGCATGAGGCTAAAAATGAATTAGCGACAGTGCCTTCCTGCTAGCTTCAGCTGTTCAGAAATGTCCCCAGTGAAATACACTGTTGTAGACTGGATTGCGGGGTGGTGTTTCATCCCCTATAAATTGCCTCATAATGCACATGAGAGCGGACATTGATTAGGGACCTCTGAAGAAGAATCGAAGCATTTGAATGATGACGCCGGCAAAGAATGTTCTAAGTTTATCGGACTGCCAGAAGAACAAACGGTTCTGTCTTGGACGAAGGACAGTCGGAGCGCTCCTGAGACGTGAGAGTGGGAGAGTTTGTCGCCTGCCTTTGGACGTGTTGTCAGGCGAGGCCAGTCTCTGGAAAGGCTCCCACTTGGTAAAATAGAAGGACAGCCCAGCAAAAGAGGAAGACCCTCGATGAGACGGATGCCCCCAGGCTGCACTGGGGACTCAAGCACGCAGGACAATGGTGAGGGTGGCGCAGGACCGGGCAGGGATTCGGTTGCACATAGGGGGGCTTCCAGTTGGAACTGACTCAGGGCACCTCCAACAGCAACAGCAGCATGCTTGTGGGATTGTCCGGTTTGGAGACAGAGTGCATTGCCTTGTTAATTAGAGCATGCCCAAGTAGGGTAGAGCCTGCCTCTAGCTGAGTGATAAAAAAGAGCAGATTAGGCACAGAGAGAGACCAGCACACACGGGGAGACAGGTATAGATGGGGAGACAGCCTGTTTGAGGATCTTCTACAAGCTCAGTAGTCAACCACTGCCCAGGACGACTGACAAAGAAACCCGTAGCCATGACTTGGACTTCTCACTTCTAGAACCGTGAGAACATAACTTCTGTTTTTGAAAGTCACCCACTTGGGAGAGGTAGCTTGTGTTATTGGCAGTAGTAACTGCCAAGACACGTGTCCTCGCCTTTGTTTTAGACTGTAGCTTTCAGATGACAGCGCCCATCCTCGCTGTAGTGTTGAAGTGGATGTTATTCTCTTCCATTGACGGTATGTCTGTGCATTGGCCGTGAACAGTATTTCTGGTCCATCTTCTAGAAATACCTTTTTCTTCGTGTGTACTGGTTTCCTATTGCTACTGTAGCAAATTCCCACACACTTGGTGACTTAAAACAACACGGATCTTACAGTTCTAGTGGGCAGAGGTCCTAAACTTGAAATGCCCGCAGGGTGGAGAGGCCTCCTTCTGGAGGCGCCTGGGAAGAACCCATTCTCTTGCTTTTTCTAGCGTCTAGAGGTGGCCAACCAGCATCCTTTGGCTTGTGGCCTCCTCCTCCATCTTCAGGGTCTGTAGAAGGCCATCTTCCACTCTGTCTTTCTGACTCTGCCCCCTCTACCTTGTTCTAATAAAACCCCTTTGACCTTACTTGGGCAACCCAGGAAAACCACCCCATCTCCAAACCCTTAACCTGAAGATCATGTTTCCATGTAAAGGAACATATTCTCAGGTTTCAGGGATTAGGGTGTGGGTGTCACTGGAAGGCCATTATTATTATTATTTTTAATCATTTTATTGGGGGCTCATACATCTCTTTTTTTTAATTTTAAAGTTAGGGCATTTAATCTTAGTTTACAACAAGAACCATAATCGAAAGAGATAGATATGCTCTATGTTTAGAGGTTTCAGGGATTAGGATGTGGGTGTCACTGGAAGG